GCGCGTAATGGATTTTACTGCTAGCCACTATCCATCTTTGCTCAAATATAATTATCTGTGTTATCTTTATTTGCAAATCTTTGTATTATTATTATTGGTTAAACACCGATTAGTAATCTCCACAATACATCATTCATTTACTTATGTCTTACTAGTAATTTTTTACAAATTATAGTCTTCCATTAAACATTTGACGGAATTTATAATTGCCTTATTATGTCTCTCACCTTATCTAACCCATATTTATTCTGATCATCTATCTCAAAAGTTCACTTAACATATAAGCTTATTCAAATTAACATTCTATATGAGCCATTTTAATTTATTAATTTATTATTATTAGCTTTATTCAATATTATATTTCTGGTACAATATAGAATACTCAACACGAGGTATTTTAACAAGTTTGCGTTTCATACTTCTTGGTCGATCCTGACGATAAGCATTGAGTGGTCGCCAGTTAGAAGTTAACAGTCCAGTAAATCGACATCTACATAATGTACAATTGTTTCGCTGCATATTATCAGCAACCATAATATCTCTAATTGAAATCATGTGCCATTACACGTGAACAGTAGTGTCAATCTATTTTCATAGTGTACGAATAGTTTGTTAAGTACTGCTACATCTTCGTACTTTCTCTTTTAAGTACTGTTGCTGGATTGCGGAAACAAACTGTTAGATTCTCAATCCATTTATACTTTGTTCCGTATTCAGAGCATCAATAAATTTCTATGTACTCGGATGAGCGGCATCAATAGGCTGGCTAAAGCCTCTATACCACCCCTTCATCACAATGTTCGTTTTAGAAAGATCTTTCAACACGGAAGGTCAATTAAACTGATTTCACACCATCCAAAATGTTATTCCCCATTTCAATGCTCACTCTTATTAATATGAACCTTCTTGATGATTGCCCCTATTAATCCGCATCTTTTTTTCACTTACCCTTATTAGTGTGAACCACTTCTGATTGGCTCGTCCATACATTAGAGTCTCGCCGTAGTTTTTTGTGTTGATATACGTAACCTCTCAGTACTCATTAATGATATTATTATAATCATTATTATGATTCCAAATTAGCTGAAGCCATCCTAAATTTATTATACGATTGTAAAATAATTTTTCAGAAAGCTTATGTTTTTATATAAACAATTCACATTTTATTTTAACAGTCTGACTGATGTTCTGGATTATCCAACTTCCCGTTCAGTCCTTTAGATATGAATTATATACTACAAACTTAAACTTCATCAATGAAAGATTAAACTTTAAGGTTTGATTAGTTACTAAGTAAAAAGAACATTTTCTCCTGTTAATACGAGTCTGTACAACATAGTAGGATTCTCTGCTTTAATTCAAATTGTCAGAGGGGGTTTTGTGGAGATTTTAGAAATTTCAATAGTTGAAATCATGAGTCAATTGAAGCTAGACCACCATGGAAAACCTGGAAGCCCTGAACGGCCGTCTCGTCCTCGTATGGGATTTCGCAGCAGTGTGCATCCACGATACCGCCCCCACGAGATTCGAACCCATGACCTATCAGTCACGCGCGTGAGCGCTTTACCATTAGACCACTGAGCCGGCATCCAACGCTGTTAATGTCTAACTTCAACCAATCCACAAAATTGCGCCACAGTACACCATTGTCTTCAGTGAGCTGTTATTTAATTCATTCAAACAATATTTATTTTATTACTCTTTTTGTAAAAAACTATGTTAGTTCATATAGTCCACAGAGATAGTCTACAGGGATAGATCTAAGTTCATGCGATTTTATTATGAGTAATCAGCAATTTATATTTAGATCTATTATTTAACATCATTCACATGTGCATTAAGAATGGTAACTTTTTTTCAAAAATGTTGATAATAATATTAATAAAGCAGACTCTTGTTAACCTACACTTGAAGGTTTTATTAGGTATACTTAATGTGATAAATTCTCTACATTGTGTATTATGTATATTGCTAATCTTTTGTAATAAAAAATAACTTTCAACTAACTCAGTAATTTTTAAGTGCATCGAGAGTATGATTCTATACAGCTTAAGTATTGTAGGTATTCAGTTTGCATTCTTATTTATTGATTCTGTCAGAATAATTAATAAACTATTCATTTAGGTTTTTCAATGTATCTGCTTTGCATATTTATCTATAAACGTAGTTAAAGACAAAGACAGTTTCAAGCAGTAATTTTTCCACCTACTACTGTAGCCAGTTTTCCCGATATACATAAAATAGCGAGACCGTTAAATCAGTACTTTTCAATGTAACCTTAAATAAAAGTGAATAATTACATCGTTATTAAGGACAAGACCTAGAAAGACTGAATTTTATGCAATCTTAGCACATGCGATGTCACTATATAAATCAAAGCCGAGTATATGGATTTGTACTTGACTATTGAGTAGCAACAAATAACTGGGCCAAACGAAAAAGGTTCGAGTTGTCACAATTGCAATAATCAATGGTTCGAAATATTAAGTAACAAGGCTCAGAATCGGTTGCAATGATAAAGACACATTCATATTTCGCCTACTTATGGTTCTTAAGTTTTGAGATAATACTACTTATTTTATTATCCGGATTCATAATTATTTATCTCGTAACACTACCACTACTTGTATTACTGCTCTCGCATTCGCCTTTATGATTCCATCTCATTGTGCCTTTATGGAATCAAGAATTGACGGAATAAACATACTTTTCTGATTGATCGAATGAATTTGTAAAACTTTTGCCCTCATTTCGTTGAGATCATCATTTTCCGTTTTAGTATTTTTTTGAAAGTAATGGGCCAGTTCGCCTGACATTTTTCATGTATCCGGCCTATTAACCATGCCGAAATCACCAGGGTCTGTAATATACAGATTATATTTTTTCCAGCTAAGTATTCATATAATATCTTCACTTTCCCACTAGTCTTGGATATGAAATATGCGAGTTTTACATCTTACATTAAAATTTGAAAATCACTTCACAAAGAGTTAATTAATCATAACAAAATATATTCTTTAGGGTAATAATCAATGATTACCCTAAAGAAGTCCAGACAAGTCTGCTGGACGAAACGTTGGAATTATTTTAATTTCAGTCTTAATTATTCCCACTAATCGTAGTATATATTTAAAAAAAAATAGAACGAACTTAAATAATTATTCTCTTAGTGATGAATGGTTTCAGTGGTAATTTTAAAAAAAAAATTGTTTGTAGATAAATTAGTTAATTTTTCAGTAGCTCAAATAAACGCGACGATATTTTTTTCTAAGTAGTTCCAATTGAAAACAATCGATAATGATTAACACTCATTCATCTATAACTAATATATTTTTTCAATTAGCCACGCTAATGAAATCAAGTCATGTATAATGGCGTAACAATAGAAGTCGCTTTATTCAATTTTAAATATTTAGTATAATATGAAATTCCTGACACAAAATAATTTAGTTTTTTCTTATTTTCCTTGTAACTCATTTATATATGACAAGTCATTTAAAACACAAGCATTTGAAAAATGAGAATTTTTGTAGACGATCCAAGTGTCAATGAAATTAATACCTAATTGTTGGTTTTAAGTATTTCCCCTTCATGTTAGTGCGATTAAACATGACATACAGGAATTTATAAATTATAAATGTAGGTATTAATTAATATGAAAACCTTCAGACTCGATACAATAAGTTAGACAAAATAGTTCCATAATAAAAGGACATTAGCAAACCAAGAGAGATCAGAGGTAAAACACAAGATAGTTCACATCCAACATAGTTTATACTGAAAAATCATTGAAAATGCAAAACATGCTTCAGTTTATCCATACTTTTCATACGTTTTAGCAAACTGATGTAGATCAACTTGGTTGTCTATTGGAGTTAGGAGTGTAAGTAGTAATATTTTATCCGTCATTTTAAAAAATGGCTGAGTTATTACAATGCGTTAAAACTTGATATCCTAATCACCGGATGCCTTCGTAATCAAACTGATCTTTACTTGCTCCCATATCTTCAATATAGAATTTATTGGAAAAGATTGATCAGAGATGCACATCAATGGCTACTACAGAATATCAACTAATTTATTTAAAAAACTTGGAATGTCATTAGGTCTTAAATACTATGATGTTTTAAGTAACTTCAGACACTTTAGAAACACCAATTTCAGTAAGTTTAGGGACACAATTTATTTTCGTTCTTGGAGAAATAAGTAAAATAATATCAGATCATTGAAGCATGAAAACATGTTTAAGTCACAGATGTTCGAATGGATGTTTTGCTCAATTTATTTGTACGTTTAAACCTATTAAACAGGTTCCAATATATTTAAAGAGATTTTATTTGATGAATATACTTGAGGAAATATTAAATTCAGCTTGCTTGATTTTGTGACTCATCAAATATTTAGGTCTTTGAGCTAAAGTAGAATCCTCCTTGATCCAAAGTCTTTTTGTCTCTCCTTAATCTTCTATGTTATGGGGCGGTAAATTTATCCAATTTTCTAATAATTACTTCATCAGGAAAACAAATATTTAAGTAGAATTGAAGAAAGCATAGACTGTCCTCTCATGAACCATCTTTATATAAGTTCCACTTCACGCTTTTTATTCCCGAAATCTTAAAGCCCTGTAGTTATCATGATCTAAATCATATAACCAAGATCCTTGAATCACGACTGGACCACAATAAGAATGTATATGTATTCATAAGAAAAAGTGAATACAGTCCACTTTTCTTATGAAAGATCTACAATTATAACCAAATATTTTGAGAAAAGATGTTTGATATACTTTCATCCTCTTTGATGAATTCTTCTAACCATTAGGGTGTTTCCACATGGTTTCTACAATATTTTGCTAAATGGTAAGTTTTAATCTTTCCATATTAATGAGTAAATAAATGTTACGACTGTTTAAGATGATTTATTTATTAAGGTAACCAAAATAAACTGTTTAAATATTAAGATAATTAGAATAAAAAAGATTTGCTAGATCTTCGAAATTCCTTCTATATCTAAGATCAAAAATATAAAATTAAAACAGTTGTATATTTTATTAAAATATTTATAAATGTCTAATTTCAATAGTTGAGATCATGAGTCAATTGAAGCTAGACCACCATGGAAAACCTGGGAGCACTGGACTGTCGTTTCGTCCTATTGTGAAACTCCTCAGCAACGCGCATCCACGACCCCACCTCACGGGATTCAAACCCAGGACCTACCAGTCTCGCGCGCGAGCGCCTAACCACTCGATCACTTAGCCGGCATCCAATAGTGTTGATGTCTAACTTCAACTATTCCATGAAATTGACTGACACATCCACCATCGTCATCAGTAAGTTACCATCTCAAAACTAACCAGGTTGAACCCCACTGGTTTAATTCACGTTTTACAACTTTTCTTATTTTTACTGTTCAGTTAAACACATGTGATCATTAATTGTAAGTGAACTAATTGATGTAGAAAATCTTTTGAAGTATTCTAATGTTTTTATAAATTTATAGTTGAAATTTAGAAAAGAAAATTTAATTTGAACAAAATAATTTATTGGTAAGTTGGTTGAATGTGTACTTGTTTTGATTTTATAATCAGTGAGATAATGTCGAGGTAATAAGAATAGAATTTATATTTTCTAAACTAAATACTGTAATTTCTACTTCTCTTCTAAAATAATGTTCCTCCTGAAATGTCAGTTTTATTAGTGTATTTTTGTAAATAAAAAATAATTATCAGAAGGGGGTTTTGTGGAGATTTAAGTAATTTAATAGTTGAATTTACGAGTAAATTAAAGTTAAACCGCCATGGAAGCCTGGAAGCACTGGGCGATCGTTTGGTCCTTGTATGGGACTATTCAGCAGTGCACATCCACGGCCCCGCTTATGGGATTTGAACTCACGACCTATTGGCTACAATCAGAAGCGGTTCACACTAATAAGGGTAAGTGAAAAAAAGATGCGGATTAATAGGGGCAATCATCAAGAAGGTTCATATTAATAAGAGTGAGCATTGAAATGGGGAATAACATTTTGGATGGTGTGAAATCAGTTTAATTGACCTTCCGTGTTGAAAGATCTTTCTAAAACGAACATTGTGATGAAGGGGTGGTATAGAGGCTTTAGCCAGCCTATTGATGCCGCTCATCCGAGTACATAGAAATTTATTGATGCTCTGAATACGGAACAAAGTATAAATGGATTGAGAATCTAACAGTTTGTTTCCGCAATCCAGCAACAGTACTTAGAAGAGAAAGTACGAAGATGTAGCAGTACTTAACAAACTATTCGTACACTATGAAAATAGATTGACACTACTGTTCACGTGTAATGGTACATGATTTGAATATACACATCTAATCATGTTTAAATATGCTACGAAAACTTTGTAATCTCTGTAACAGTTACATCTACATTATACTGGTTTTACCTCCTTTTTATTTATTATGTCCATTTAGTCTACATATTGCCAGGATTATTTTACAGTTGTAATAAATCTCCCTTTTACGTTGAGTTATCAACGTGTTGGAGAGTCAGGTTTCGAATTTTAAATGTATTTGTCGCTTACCTACTGGCTTATGCTGGTTACGTCTATTGGACAGTCAAAAAATATAAAAAGTAGTACGCAACTTCAAGGATTAAAATAATCGAAGTAAAATAAAAATAATAAGATAAAACCAAATGTTCAAAAGATAATTAGGGGCTATGAGGAAGATGAACAATGAATTAAAGACATAAAGGTAATAATAACAAATGACTATAAACTAATACTATAAAGAATAAGTATTAATAACCTATTAACCGTGTGTGAAAAATTACCTATTAGAATCATGGTATGATGACAGCTTGGCGTGACGCTCCTGCATACACAACTCAGATTTGAATTGATGATCTGCTACAGCTTCAGCGAAATCATCTACAAGACATTTTTGGGATGTAGTTGGATTTATAATTTAAGTTGACTAATTTGAAACATTGTTTAACCGTTTCTGTTTTTCAAGTATAAATCTGAGTATTATTTTAACTGGAATAAACGATATTCTGACCTACATAAATACCTAAAGATCATATGTTACTGAATAGTAATAATTGCAAGAAATCCACCTAATACGTTCCACCTATTCATTTAAGTAATATTAAATAAAACGTGGTTATTAAAATCTTATTAACACTGATTTCATCAATCTGCAGAATAAAAGCTCATTAATTTTCGCTGGAGAGCACAAAGGAATACATGTAATAAAGAATGCCCAGTATTACTTTTTAATTCTGAAAGGAATAGTTCTAGCATTTAAAACTTATTCAAAGTGAGATTTAGGAAACAATTTTCAAACACTTTTGAAACAACCCTATCCTAAATAGACGCACGAAATAGAATGACTAGGGTAATATAGATAACAATTTGTTACCGAATTCGAAGAAATACATTACTTGTTGAAAATAGACTCTTCATAAGACGTTTAAAGAACTGTTTTTGACTGGTCGTAGGCATAGGGACAGAGGGCGAATCATAAATATTTCAAATCATTGAAAATAATATTCGTCATTTCACTACTCACCTCTATTAGTATGCGCTCTTGTTAATGTCGGCCCTTTACAATGGATACCGTCTAAGCCATATTATTCAGTTGCCAGCGCATACAGTAGATAAAAGCAACAACAGAATACGTTAAGACGACTCAGCATAAGACCTTATACGACTACTTTCAAATATCATTAAGACTTATACCTCTAAGATAACGTAATCGTATTCGTCGTCGTACTGAAATACGAACGTGTTTCCGTTGACAAAAAAAAATCGGATCGAGTAGTTATTCGGTTTTAGGTTGGAGTTTAGCAGTAACAAACTCAAAGAAATAATCCGGATCTTTAACTTCTTTCGGAAGGTAATAAGACAGATAAATTCTCGGAAACTTTTTGAGTTGTCACTGATAACTATATATGGATTCATACGATGATGTCCTTATCGCAATTCGTCCCGCCTGTTTTTTCGATGACTTACTTGCTAATATTTTCTTATTTAGCGTAATACGAAATCCTTTATGCAAATTCGGAGCAAAGCCTCTTTATTTTGTATTTGTAGGACGACTGATTGCTTTCAAAACATAAAAACCAGCGTTACTTGAGAAAAGTTATTCAAAATCACATACTATCTACTAAATGGTTCATTTACGTCAGATATCTGGACGTTATTGACTAAACCGTCCGAATACTGATCCAACAAATGCCTGTTTACACCTGATTGTATTGATCGTTACATTTCATTGCTTTTCGGTATAAATCAGTGGAGTGGTGTATGAGGTAAGTGTATCGGCCTTGCATTTATATAGCAATCTCTGAATCAACTAAGTGATTTAACGGCACCATTTGCTTTTGCTTCCGAATTTTAAAGACAATTCGAGAAAATGGGTAGCTTAACCATGTCCTATTGACCAACTTGCCACACATACTTAGACAAGTTTAAGACTTATGTTTATCGGAGATTGTAGGGGGGATTACACCCAAGACAACCTCGGGTGAAATACCGTTAGAATTCAAGAAACACCAGATAGCCGCTTCGTCCTAGTTTAGGACTTCTCGAGTGTCGCCTATGACCCCTTTCCAATGTGACTGTATACAAGATCCACAGACCACGCGAACGCCTAAACACCCGATTAATGAAACGCAATCTCAGTTCTAATCATTCGGCGATATAAACCGATTATCTAACGTCACTGATAATCACTGTATCACTTCAACATGTCTGGATTCTACTGACCATTTCTTGCTAAAAATTAAAGTACTCATCTAGAAGTTACAAAAGTTGTTGGGTTACGCTCTTGATTTTAATTTTTATGGTCTAGTTCATCCAGAATTAACTACATCTGTAGAAGACGAGTCATGTCTTACATTTCTGAATGTAATGAAGATCAAGCTAATTACTATGTACTTCGCGCAACATTCCTGTTATCTTCACTAACGATTTTTATGCATGCCATAATATTTGTACGCGACTAAACATTTTTTTATGTACTGGAAAATCCGAATATATTGATCTGGACACCTGTATGTGATTGTGTTTTCACCTGGTGTTAATCACTAGATATAGTTTAATCATATCATGAAGCCAAACAAATGTTTGCCACCGTATACCAATTAAGTGAATTAGTGTTCAAGGCCTCAAAGAGACTTGTAGGTCCTAGATTTGATGCCTAAGTGGATTATGGCTCTCTACTGTTAAGGATGAAACCAGAAAACAGTTAATCAGTTCTTTATGGTCTTTAATAGTAGCCCAACCTAAGTCAATCTGTGACGAGTACCACTCAAAAATCAAACAAATCACCAATAACCCTGTTTACCAAACATAAAATAAGTCAAAATAATGGTTAGTGTATAATCCGAATCTCTTATTTTCTAAATAGTTGTCAATTTTCCAGCAATAAAATATGAAATTTCTTAGACTTATCTGTAGAAACTTTAATGTAAATGAAAAAAAAGCATAGTTTTGTTTTACACGTAAAAACGTCTTAATAAGAACCAACTGATGGTTTGGGGTACCAAAAGACTGGAAAGAAGGACTTCTAGTCAAAATACCAAAGAAAGGCGATCTCAGCAACTGTGAGAACTACAGGGGAATCACTCTTCTTTCAATACCAGGAAAAGTCTTCAACAGGGTACTGTTAAACAGGATGAAGGACTCCGTAAGGACAGATCGTACACAGACCAAATCGCAACTCTACGGATCATTGTGGAACAATCAATTGAATGGAATTTATCACTCTATATCAACTTCATCGACTACGAAAAAGCATTTGATAGCGTGGACAGAACAACCCTATGGAAGCTTCTTCGACACTATGGCGTGCCTCAGAAGATAGTCAATATCATACAGAATTCCTATGGATTAAACTGCAAAATCGTGCATGGAGGACAGTTGACAAAGTCGTTCGAAGTAAAGACTGGTGTCAGGTAAGGTTGCTTACTCTCACCCTTTCTCTTTCTCCTGGTGATCGACTGGATCATGAAGACGTCAACATCTGAAGGGAAGCACGGGATACAGTGGACAGCTAGGATGCAATTGGATGATCTAGACTTCGCAGATGATCTGGCTCTTCTATCGCATACACAACAACAAATGCAGGAGAAGACAACCAGTGTAGCTGCAGCCTCAGCAGCAATAGGTCTCAATATACACAAAGGGAAAAGCAAGATTCTTCGATACAACACAGCATGCACCAATCCAATCACAATTGACGGAGAAGCTTTGGAAGATGTAAAAACCTTTACATATTTGGGCAGTATCATCGATGAACAGGGTGGATCTGATGCAGATGTGAAGGCACGGATTGGCAAAGCAAGACCAGCATATTTACAACTGAAGAATATCTGGAACTCAAAACAATTAGCAACCAACACCAAAGTCAGAATTTTCAATACAAATGTCAAGACAGTTCTACTGTATGGGGCGGAAACCTGGAAAACTACGAAATCCATCATCCAAAACATACAGGTGTTTATTAACAGTTGTCTACGCAAAATACTTCAGATCCGCTGGCCGGACACTATAAGCAACAACCTACTGTGGGAGAGAACAAATCAGATCCCAGTGGAGGAAGAAGCGCTGGAAGTGGATTGGACACATTGAGGAAAACACCCAACTGCGTCACAAGACAAACCTTCACATGGAATCCTCAAGACCGAAGGAGGAGAGGAAGACCAAAGAATACATTACGCCGGGAAATGGAGATAGATATGAGAAAAATGAACAAGAACTGGATGGAACTAGAAAAGAAGACCCAGGACAGAGTGGGTTGGAGAATACTGGTCGGCGGCCTATGCTCCATTGGGAGTAACAGGCCTAAGTAAGTAAGTAAGTGATGGTTTGGGGTGTACCATAAGCTGACACTACAGTAATTAAACACGAACACAAGTTAGGAAGTAAAGCACCGATGTAAT